AAATATTTCATTTATCCAAATTGAGCACATGCCTAAAATACTTTCTTATGATTGTGCCTTGGTCTAAAACAACTGAGCAGTTTTATAGCCCGTTTGGCCAAGCTGCAAAAATCAGCTTATTTTGAGAAGTGCTTTTTCTCAAAAGTGTTTTTCTCAAAGGTACTTTTGGTGAGAAGCAGTTTGTGTTTGACTAATTAATTTGAAAAGCACTTTTGACCAGCAATTAGTGTTTGGCCAAGCTTTAAAAAACTGCTTCTAAGTGTATTTTTCTCAAAAGTGCTTTTCAAAAAATTGCTTTTGGAGAGAAGCTATTTTTTTTCTGCTTCTCCAAAACGGCTTCTGCTTCTCCTCAAAAACAATTTTTTTCCTTTCAAAAGCTTGGCCAAACACCTTAATTTTAGAAAAAAACACTTTTGACAAAAAAAAAAAAAAAAGCGCTTTGCCTCAAAAGAAGCTTGGGCAAACATGCTATTAGTCCTTCATATTCATAACAACTGCGCACATTTTGTGTGTTAAATATAACAGCATTACAGCGACCATAAGTGTTCAATTTTGATTAACATAAAAGATCACTATTTTTGTTATTTTTTCTAACCAAATAATCCAAACTCATGGGATAGGACTCACCAAATTTTGAAGGGATTTCTGCGAATAGATCATCAATACTGGTGCAAGTGCATACTGTTTGTATCCCCTAGCCATCATAGCAATTAGAACCCTTTGGAAAAAATCAATTCTAAGGACAGTTAAATCCTCAGCCCACCAATCAACAACAACAGTCCTCGGATTTGAAAACGTGGAGGAATTCATCAAGCTATTAGCGTCGACCTCTATTCTACCTGACTTACAAAAATGGCTATCCTTGCAAACTATGTATGCAATTGTATCTATGCTTCTGTTCACCAATTTTATATTTTCTGCAATTGGAAGAAGTTTTTCTGAAGAGTGCAAAACGGAAACTGCATCTGCAATGCTCTTAAGTGCTACTTCATTTAAGTAGGCTTCTGATAATCCTACCAAATTTCCAACTGCATAGTCATCTGTCATATCAAGATATTCTGCTACACATCTAAGCAATGCGACGTTTCCTGAGCTTATCTCAAAGTTTATTCCATAACAAAATTTTGCTGCAAATTCAAATGCCTCAGCTCCACCAGGAATGTCAGGGATTTCAAATACAGAAAGATTAGCATCATTGAATTTTGCGACCAACTTCCTTATATATCCGCACTTTGAGACTAGCGGGAACTGCAGTATCAAAGATTGCACCTTTTAGTTAAGAGTTTAACTTCTACTCACTGACAGTAGGTAACAACTGCCATAATAAGTGTAACTAGTTACCGAAAAGAACAATCTTGATTGGTGTTCTAGTTGAAATTATATTTGGAACTTCTTAGAACAAGGAAAAAGGTTGTACCTTGTGCAGAGCAAAGGAAGTTCCTGCAACATGAACAGTTATATCACTTGGGATCTCCTGGGATAAAATCCTGCAGATAATATAAAGGTCACTCATTCATCAATGCCTACATTTTACCCTCCACTACTGATCATGTTACACGGAAAAATTGAATAAAGACGCGTAAAAGTACGCTGGAAACAACAAAAGAGAGAAAAATAACTGAAGATAGACTACGTACCATTCGGAGGTCCTTTTCATAACATTAGAAAGAAGCTCTTTTTTCTTAGTGAACATGTTTATAACAGTAGTTGAAGGTTGTGCAGTCTCGTCTGAACCAAGATCAACCATATTGGCCTATTATATAATTCTTGATAAAGCAAAAACTAGTATGTACTATGTCCTTTCCCCTGCTTCTTTAATTAATTCTCTTTCACCCACAAAAGAATAAGAGATCAACAGTTAGGGAATAAGTACAACTTGAGTTTGGGTCCGTAAACTGCATTATATATTACTGTCGGAAGTCAATATCAATCATAAGATTGCAGAATTCCCGTTATAGGCCAGAAAGTTAGCAGTGGAAAGATTGTGTACGAGTGAGCCTCTAGTAGACACATGACACGAGTAGTGTTACATATGATTATGAGAAGGTACGGGGGTTAAATAGGATAGTAAGGGATTTCGTTCAGAGTGTGTAGAAGTATAAGCACATCCAGTTTTATACAAATGATGAGATGATGGTGCCAAAAGAAAGGAAGTTTCTATCTTGGGATCATTTTCGTCCACAAAACTGTCAATGACTGACTTTCATTGTAACTAGTATTAGCACTCGCGCAGATGCGCGGACACTAACCATGTCAACTATTTAAGTTATTTGGCTTACATGTAAATAATCTTAAATTTTAAACCTTCTCGATAAATATAAATAATTATTGAATAATTAAGAAACACTACATTAAAATAATTAATCATTTCTCAAATCTCCTAGTTATAATTATACTTTTCTTTTTTGGTACAATTCTCGCCGGTGTCATTGGATCCTAAAAATAGTTAAGAAGCAAAATAATAACTCATATTTATGGGAAAACAATTAAAGGTTGAGACTATGAAGGGCTCTTTGGATACGACTTGACTCTTTTACTACTACTTGAACTCTTATTTGGTGTGTTGATATCTTTCAAAAAATATTTCTATTTTAAAATTTCAGTTTCTAAAAATTTATTTTTCAATAATAATTATTTTTATAATAATGTAATTGAAAATATTATCCTTAATTCAAATCAGTTTAGTCGGCTATCTAAACATTTAAAAAAATTCTTTAGCCAGTGAATTTTTTTTAACAGTATGACTCCATTTTGATATTTGATATCAACCATGGTAGATATTCGAGTTATTTGAATTATATGTAAATAACCTTAAAATTTAAACCGTCTAGATAATTATAGATAATCGTTAGATATTAATTAAGAAACACTACACGAAAAACGGCTAATATTTTATCAAATCTCGTAGTGATAATTTTATTCTTGCACCATTCTCATTGGTGTCATTGGAACCTAAAAATAGCCACAAGCGAAATAATAACTCGTATTTATGGCAAAGCACAAAGGTTGACACAATATGAACGATTCTTTGGTAACGACGTGACTCTTTTATTACGACTTAAACTCTTATTGGGTATGTTATTGTCTTTCAAAAAATATTTCTATTTTGAAATTTTCAATATCTAATTATATATATATATATATATATATATATATATATATATATATATATATATTTTAATAATGACTATCTTTATAATGATGTAAGTGAAGATATTACTATATAATTTTTTTTTACTTTAATCGGCTATCTAAGAATTTAAATGATTCTTTAGCTAGTGAAACTTTATTTCAATATGACTCCATTTTGAGTCTCTCGATATCTCTAGCCACAGATTTTGATTTTTGAATACCCTATATATACATATTTTAAAATATACTTTTGTTACACTTGAAATTTGCTATAGAAACTATCAATTAAAAACCAATATCCCTCATGTTGAATTCGAGAAAAAAGAAATCTTTCACATAATCTAGTGATTCAAAACTAATATTCTTCAACGAAAAAATATTATAGCCTTGGAATGTTGGATTAATTGAGCTAAATAAAGATGTTCAGCTTATGCCCTTCAATTCCTAGAAGGTGCTAAATTGAAATTAATGATAGCAATTGTACAATCAAGATTTTGTTATTTGTTTGATGTCCATTTATACGGATGACTCTTCAAACAAACATTCGTAAAAAATGTTTTTTTTAATATTGAAAGATTTTTGTGATGTTTCTTTCTCTAGCATGTAGGTGACTTCATTATATATGTAAATAAATTTTTATGCGATTTTAAGCTCTTTTTTGTTATCTGGATAAACATAGATATGTCATATATATTACATTTATTTTTTTTAAAAATTTGCTTTATTCAAATCTAGGTATAGTGTTTTAAATAACTATATTTTAGGGTTTGAAATGTGAAAGAATTTTATAGTTATATGCAGTAGTTTTTTTTTCTTTTCTTTTTTTGCCAAAGGCGAAGTAGTATTTAAATAATTAGAAAAGATAACAAAAGTTCCTAACATGATTGCATATGATTATTAACCTAATTAAGTATGATAACATTATAACAAAAGATAATTTTTTTTAGTTTTAATTCAAATTTAAAAAGTTTATCTATAAATTCAAAATTATTCTTTAATTCAAAACTAACATTTTCTCAAATCTCGTAGTGATAATTTTATTTTTGCACCATTCTCATTGGTGTCATTGGAACCTAAAAATAGCCATAAAGCGAAATAATAACTCGTATTTATGGCAAAGCACAAATGTTGACATGATATGAACGATTCTTTGGTTACAACGCTATTGTTTTACTATGACTTGAACTCTTATTTGGTTGTTGTTATCTTTTTAAAAAATATTTCAATTTTGAAATTTTAATTTCAATATATATTATAATGATTATATTTATAATGATGAAAGTGAAGATATTATCCTTAATTTAAAATTTATTTTAATCAGCTATCTAAAAATTTAAATGATTCTTTAGCCGGTGAAACTTTATTTGACTATGACTCCATTTTGAGTTTGTCTATATCTCTAGCGGCAGATTTTAAATTTTGAACACCCTATATATATAATTTTTTTTGTTCATTAAATCATTAAATGTTGAATTAGTTGATTGTTATTATATAACATTGCATATATTATCTTAAAATTGCCAAGTAATTTTTTTTTCGACACTATATTTGGCTTAACTTCAATGAATACTACTCAAATTGCATTTAAATTCAAATTCGAATATCATATCAGTTTGTTAGTAACAGTAATTTTTTAAAAATGACACATAATGTAAATTAAGAAAATTCTAGGATATCCTTATCTAATAATCTATGTATTTGAGTTGAAAAAATATATTTGAAATCGATGAGATCAGCTTCCAAATTTTTTATACTCAGCAAAGATGAAATAGGAGAAGTAATGCGTTGTCATCTCTTTTTTGTTTCTGATTTTTAGATTTTTCATTTTCTTTATAGATGCGTTGTCATTTTTATTTTTCAATCGATAAATTTCTTTTTTATTTTAATTCAAATTTAAAGACTTTATCTATTTGACTAACATAGTAAAATACAGAATAAAGTCACCATATACTATTGGCATTTATTAGCTTGCCACTTGGCTTAACCATAATGCCAATTATATATGGTAACTTTATTCCTTTAATATATATATAGATTGTAACATTCAGTACTACAACAGTACCTAAATAAAAGAAGGGCTAACTTATATACACTCACAGTATAATTTTTTTACAATATTAGTTGAAGGAGATCCTTGGTGTAACTGGTAAAGTTGCTCTCATGTGACCAGAAGGTCACGGGTTTAAGCCGTGAAAACATCCTCTTGCAGAAAAATAAGGTAAGTGTTGCGGAATATCGTGGGTTAACTAGTACACAATCACACACAAAGAAAATAGAGAACAAAAAAATTAACACAAGGATTTAACGAGGTTCGGCTAAGCCTAATCCTCGGGGCAAAAACAGAGAGAGTTTTCCACTATGAATGAGAAGAAAAGCACAGCACAATCTCTAGAATCCCCAACTACAACCCCTATATATAGATCCCAAAAGGTCTCAAACATATAAGAGAAAGGTTTCCCAATTTGACAAGGACTATAGGTTTTCCTTTCCCAAATTTATTAGGATAATGGGTTTTCCTGAACCTATAGGGATTATGGGTTTCCTAAAAATACAAGGAAATAATTCAAGCCTATAATCAAACTTCCCCTTGGCTTGAATTCTCTTCATCAACAGGAACAACGTCTCTCTACCTTGCCCTCCGCCCTCGCAAGGGCTCTATTCATTTCCGCACACATCAACCAAGTCTAGGCAACGCCTAAACTTGTTAAGAGACTCAATCTCTTTAACCATAACACTAATCCGTCGATTTGGTTCTGTACTCTGAATAGCTTCTGAGTAGCTATAACACTCAAATGCATCAACGGTCTCTGCAACTGCCAAAGCAAATCCCACTGGATTCGTATGTCCAAGAAGATTCCCATCAACTACGTTTGCAAACCTTTGCGGTCGGTTGATCACTCTCTTCTCTCTACCTGTTGCAATGCTATATGGTTGTTGTTGCGCAAATGCATCAACATTATCATTTTGATCAATATTTTGTACCTCTTCCACTTCCTCTACTTTAGAACTACTGGGTTGAGCTAGTGGAGAATTAATTTCTAGCTCTATGCGGTCACTGACACCACGATCTGTTTCTGCTATTGCCTTCTCCCTCTGACTGTCCAGTGAGACAGATTTATTGAATGTTACATCCCTACTGATAATTAGCCTGGAGTCTTTTGATCTGTGCACCACAACCTATAACCTTTTACTCCAGTTGCATACCCTAGAAATATGCACTTCTTTGCCCTCGGCTCAAGTTTTCCATCCCTCACATGAGCATAAGCAGGACAACCAAATATCCTTAAATTTGAATAATTAGTAGGCGAACCGGACCATACCTCAAAAGGAGTTTCGAACTCAATAGTTGTGGATGGAGATTTGTTGACCAAATAACAAGCTGTATTGATTGCTTCAACCCAAAAATCTTTGCTAACACATGAGTGTGAAAGAATGCTTCGTGCCCTATCACAAAGCGTTCTATTCATACGTTCTGCAACACCATTTTGTTGTGGTGTTCTGACACAAGTGCGGTGTCTCACTATTCCCTCTCTGCTGCAGAAATTATAGAACTCAGAATTGTAAAATTCCAACCTATTGTCAGTTCGAAGACGCTTAACTTTTCTTTCCTTTTGCCTCTCAACTATCGTCTTCCATTAAACAAATGTAGAAAATTCCCCATCTTTTGTTTTCAGAAAATACACCCACACCATCCTTGAGTAATCATCAATCAAAGTCATAAAATACTTGGCACCACTCTTGGAGGGAACTCTGTTTGGACCCCACAAGTCAGAGTGTATATAATCTAACTTGTCTCTGGTCTTGTGCTCGGCCTTCTTGCCGAACTTTACCCTTGTCTTACCAAACACACAATGCTCACAAAAATTCAAAACTTGATTTTTGTACCCATTCAGCAAATTCTACTTACTCAACCAAGAAAATCCATTATCACTCATA